TTGCGGGGGTCCCCACAGGGCAACGCGTTGGGGTCGCTGCTCTGCGGCAGCCCCCGGTTGGTTGCTACGCTGAGGTCAGGACTACGCCGGCAGCTCGAACCCTGCCCGTGCACTCCCTTCCAGCAAGTCCCCCTCGCTCAGAGCATCCTCCGCGGCACCGAGCTCGTTTAGATGCACCCTAATTAATGAACAACGATGTCAGCTGGAACACAAGCATCTGCCTCTAGCATCCCCGGGGTGGGGTCTGGTCCTAGGCAGAGCGGGGCAGAATTCGGCCCTGGTGTAGGACAGCCGCGTGGTTGCTGGATGAAAAGCACAGCTCGTAGAATAACCCCGTCATGTGATGGGGCGCGTGGAATGAATTGGGGTGAGGGGATTGAGGAGCTCCCCTCTCCGACAGCTGTTGCTCTGCCCATCCTGCCTGGAGACAGAATCACAGAATCCCAGCATGTCCAGGGTTGGCAGGGACCTCTGTGGGTCACCCAGCCCAACCCCCTGCCCAAGCAGGGTCACCCAGAGCAGGCTGCACAGGGTTGCGCAGGAAAAGTTAGTGGAAGAAACAGGCCTAGAGGCTTTCTCTGACTAAAGACAATACATGAAAAGGAAAGAAGTCAGTCTGTTAAATCTAAGCTATGCTTGCAGAGCTGCAAGACATTTAATGTTACAAATGAGTATACGTTAAGGAGAATCAATGAAACAGGTAAGATATAATGAACGCAGAATCCTACAAAGCAAGTATACAAAGAGTCTATATTTAACCTAGAGTATTTCTAAGGTCCCCTCTCAGCCTTCTCTTCTCCAGGCTGAACAAGCCCAGCTCCCTCAGCCTCTCCTCGTAGGAGAGATGCTCCAGTCCCCTCATCATCCTCGTAGCCCTCCTCTGGACTCCCTCCAGTAGCTCCTCATCTTTCTTGAACTGGGGAGCGCAGCACTGGACACAGCACTGCAGATGGGGCCTCAGACCAGGAGAGCAGGTTGGGGTAGGGAAGAGGTTCCTGGGTTCGGTGGGAACATCCAGTCCCTTTGCTTTATCACAGAATCATGCAGGTTGGAAAAGCCCTCTAAGATCACCAAGTCCAACCGTCACCCCAACACCCCATGCCTGGTAAACCGTGTCCTGAAGTGCCACGTCTCCACATTTTTGAACCCCCCCAGGGATGGGGACTCTACCACCGCCCTGGGCAGCCTGGTCCAGTGCCTGACTGCTCTTCCAGTAAAGAAATTTTTCCCAATATCGAATCTAAACCTCCGCTGACGCAACTTGAGGCCATTACCTCTCGTCCCATCCTTTTCTCCATCTCAGCAGGGTCAGGAGAGCATGCCGGCGGGGGCGAGACCCACCGGCTTACGCTGTCGGTAGCACTGGGCAATGGAGGCGACGAAAACCATTTCTCTCTGGGAAAAAACACCGGCTTGGACCAGCAGCCAGCTCCGACAGCGCTCCCTGCTCGTTCGCCTGCTGCAAACGGCAGCCCCTTGCCCAAGGGTGGAAACAGCTGAGTTGAGCTTTTTTTTTTATTTTAAATATGGCATTAAAAATGTATTTTCCTTGAAAAGTCCTTTTCAGTTCTCTTCAGTGTTATTTTCCAACCTCTTTTGCATGTCTTGGAAAAATTTCACTCCAGGTTAAACGAAAACCTGAGAATCTGTGTTATTGTCAGGTTTTTGCCTCCCCTAGCTTTAAAAATCGCTATTTCAGGTAGATTCACACTTCTTTGATCTCTGCTTTCTGAGTAAAGTGGAAAAATCCGTTCTTCACGCCGTGCTCGGCCAGGCGTGCTCGGCCAGATGTGCCAGGGGCGGGGGGCCGGGGCCGTACCCCCTCCCCCGGCGGGCCGGGGGCGTGGTGGCGAGGGCCAAG